TTACTGTAAATCTTTCTACGACAGACCAACGGACCACGAGTGCCCCTGTCGGTCAACCAATCACGTACCGTGGTACCGCGCGTCATCGTGCGTCACAATGTGCGATGCTGTAGCCAATGGAGCTAAGAGTTGTGGTCAATGGTGGCTAGTAAAAGGCCATGAAAAATAAATGGGAATTGAGAGTACCATACTGATAGCATCACACAAACTGGTCAGAGCAATAAAAGAGGAGTGTACCCTGCCATTCTATAGTGCTACAATATAGAAGAGTGTGCAACTGCCTTCTACATGAAAGAGGCCCTGTGGTAGTACAGAACGAATATATTAGGGCTCTGACACAGAAAAAGGGGCTACTAGAAGAAAGCTTTACTAAAAGCTCTATATAAGTTTCAGTAAGTTGAAAGAGTTCCATACAGATGTTATACAAGAAGCCAGACAGAAGAATGAAACAGGCATTTCTCATACTCTACCTGGCCACTACACCAGGAGAAGTGAAGTGATTTTCTCCCCTGGGTAAAGGAAAACCTGAACAGAAGAAATGCAACTAAAAGGTTAAGGACCAGGCACACTAGTGTGTCAGAATGGTCACCCATGAATTATAGCAGAGGTTACAGACCTTTTTTGCTAACCATCTTACCATAAAGGCTTTTGCATGTTTCGTGTAGACAGGTAGCATTATGTATAGAAACTGAAAGATACGATTAAAGCACAAAAATGATAAAGCACCATTTCATATCAGTAGGAAACAGAAATGGCAGATAGACTCTCAGTGAGGAGACAGACTTTTTATTTTTTTAATATTAAACTTCCTTGCTTTGCATTTGTTAAGTGGTAATAATGTCTATTAAATGCTTAAAATTTAACAATACAGAAGTATGACTCCAACAGTCGTGTTCATCACCTAATGGTTTCAGTATTTGTGTCTTTTTGTCATTATTTGTGTCATTTCAGAAAATGTAAAAGGTTCCCAATCCTGGTCCTGGAGGCCCACACACTTTCTAATACTTTCAGTTCCAACCAAGATCTCACTTACAAAATTAGGATTAAATTGAACTACTTGATTGGTTTAAGCTCTTAAACATGTTACAGACTGTCTTTTAATAATTGTATTTAATAAGTAACATAAAATTTCAAAGATTTGCACAAAAATGCAAAAATGCCTGTAAATATTCCCGTCAAACACCTTGTTAGTTCAGTTAAACCTCCAATAATTAAACATGGCTGGAATACAAACAAGTGTGATCCTTTAGGACCAGTATTTGGATCCCCAGTTTAGGAAGTGCAGTTCATGTCTAAATTCCCTATAGCCTATAATGCATAACATGAACATTAAATAGTTCTAATACATGGTAGTAAGTGACTGTTATTAACAATTAACTGTGTGTGTTTTTTTTTTAATAGAGCTAAGATCATTTTCTTTTATAACTACTTAATACATACTTAATTGTCTCTTACGTACATATAACATGTAATGTACCCCCTA